GCATGAAATGTTTCTGATGAGTTTGGAGTCATTTGGGTAACCTTTTCAACACAGGATGTGGAGGCAAGGTTTTCGATGGTGTAATACAAGTGCCCGAGCTAGGGTTAGGTGTAGGGTTTGAATGAGAAGTACAGTATCTGCACTGAATTTGGTTTCAATTCCAGCACTTTGTTGTTTGTCACCTGCTGCTGGAATGCAGCTTGAAATAAGCATGATTTGTGGCATATCTTATCAAAAATCGCAAATGTGGGCCAAAAGTTGTCGTCAAGGAAACAACACAACAACACTTTTCCTGCATTTCAATTGCCTCCAAAAGCCCAGCAAAGGTATCAGTAAATGTCTACTTCTCATGCAAACCCTAACCCTAACCCTAGCTCGGACACTTGTATTACACCAATCGAACACCTTGCCTCCACATCCTGTGTTGAAAAGGTTACCCAAATGACTCCAAACTCATCAGAAACATTTCATGCCATGCTTAAAAGCACCTTCATTGTATCTGCACTGAATTTGGTTTCAATTCCAGCACTTTGTTGTTTGGTCACCTGCTGCTGGAATGCAGCTTGAAATAAGCATGATTTGTGGCATATGGGGGTCAGCATCACAATTCCCAGTAAAGTTTGGCTAAAAGTATTATATTATTTGGATTCCAATACAAAAACGATAGAGTTTAGCATGTAGAAAGTGTGTTTGAAAAACTTTGCATTTTTAACCATTTTTGAGCGACAGCCACACGGTTTAGCTATAATCGCCATGCTTAAAAGCACCTTCATTAGTCCAGCCTCCCCTGATGCTGCCAAGAAAGGCAATCATGACCATGTGGTGACAAGCCTCCCTCTCTAGATCTCTGGGAATTACTAATAAGAGACTTGATCTCTTTTGAAAAGTTAAGATTCATCCTAAAAGGTGAGCTTGACCGTTTTAAAATTCTGTGGGATAAGCCTTTGAGAGCATTAGGTTTAAAAGAGGAGCTCAATATATATTCCTAAGCCTTTATATATAACTATGCTATGACCTTTATGCTTTTAAATGGTAAACTCTGATATAGCTGCAACTGTACCTGTTTTTGTTTTTATTTTGTTTTTTTTCTGTCTTTTTTCTTCTTTCCTCTTTCACTCTTATTATTTTTCCTTAACTCCATGCCTTGTTTCTTTTTCTTACATTCATTGTTATTCTCTTAAAAAAATGTAAAAGTTTAAATATTGATGTCTCTGCCGTGATATTTAATAAACAGAATTGGAAAAAAAATGCACCTTCATTGTATCTGCACTGAATTCTGTGTTCTTTAGGAGGTCCCACATGCTGTATCTCTATGCAGAGGTTGTACGCCAAACCCCAAAATGAAAATGTACCCCAAACCCTGTTTCTTACTCACATGTCTCAGGCCCTTATCCTACTTCACAAACTGAAATGGTATAGTTATAGATGAGTATAACCTATACAGGTTGCGCATTCAAATGAGTCCTGCAGAGTTTAAGAGTGAAAAGACAGACCACACGCCGCAGGGATATCACAGAACACTGAAAGGATGCAGTGGAGATTGTCCAGGTGCTCATTGAACATTTCTGGGACCTCAACGGTATTGTCTGGGATCTGGCAGCAACGTGACCTGACGTGACTAACTTTCCTGTAACCCTAGAACATCTTTTTTGTGGAAACTTGTTAAAACAAAAATAGATTTGTTGTTTGCTTCACCTGGAGAGGATTCTGTGTTATTTCTTAGTCAGACGCCTATTGGTAGTTTGCAAGTTCAATTTTGTTTCATGGCTAGATGTCATTCTACTTCTTTAAAACACCAGGGCACCATTTTGTTGCATCATCTCTTTTTCACTTCTAGGTACTGTGATTTCCTTCTGTGCTGTTTGGTTCTACATGGCTCTGTTTTTTAAGCCATGTGGTCACTTATATTGCTGCCATAAACATGTTTGTGTTGAGACCAAGAAGTCTGGCTAAAGCAGAATTTTAATCGAGAGGCTGAGCAGTAAATGCCAGTTTGGTCAAAGAATGGGTAAAAAAAGCAGTTAACAGGTAACTATCCTTCTTACCTTCCCCTTTTTACCCTTTCTACAAATTTTCAGAAGGGATGTTTTACACAGGTGCCACAGTGGTTAGCATTGCTATCTTAAAGCCCTGGGATCCTGAGTTCAAATCCTGGAGTGTTGTTTGTGTGGAGTTTGTATGTTCTCCCAGTGTCCATGTGGATTTCCTCCATGTGTTCCAGATTCCTCACATAGTCCTAACATGTACTAACAGGACAATGGGGTTGTGGGAAAATTGGCCCTTGTGTGAGTGTGTGTGTCTGTGTATGCCCTGCTATGGACTGGCATGGACAGTATGCCTCCATTATCCTGTCAAGATTAATATGGTTAGAAAATGGATGGATGTTTTACATATAGTGTAAGTTTTAATAGGCTTATTCAGATTCTCCTTCAGGCCCACAAGCCTTCTTGGTTTTCGTTCCAGTTGAGCTGGAACATAAAATAATCGAAGCCTTAACAATACTAAATAATCTGGCTCCATCATACATGTCTGAACTTCTTTACGTTTACACTCCCTTCTGTAGACTCCGTTCTGTTGCTCTCTGTACCCAGGACTAAACCTCTGACTTTTGGGGATCAATCTTTTTCTGTCACTGCTACTTTGTTATTGGATGCCCTTCCTCCAGCTTTCTGAAAGGCAGATTCTTAGTGTGTTATTGTTACACACAAGTGTCCTAGGCTTTGGAAGAGCTTTATAAAGGATTTTTATTATTATTATCCTATCCTGTAATAGAACATAAAAAACTTTTTTACATCCAATAACAGAACATGTGGATTCATACTTGCACAAACTAAATCTTCAGTAATCTTACTACAAGCACAATAGTCATGCAAAATACATTAATTTATAAAGTTAAACATAGTGTATTCTTCAAAGGAACAAGAAAAGGTTTATTCCATGCTGAAAAGAGAAGAAAGGAAACACAACGTTTCAGCT